TCTTCTACCTTAGTGTTGAATTGCCTGGGCGGAGGTGTGTGATTGGAGTGAGGTTGGTGAATTCCAAGATAAAATCGGCGACAACTTGTCCTTTGATCGCCATTCGAGGTCGGTAAGAGATTTCAAATTGGCTGAGCTTAACAGATTATTGCATAGTCTGCCGGACAATTCTGGTTGTTGCATTACCTTCTTCAAAGGTTGGTCAGTGAGAACCACTATGGAGTGAGCTTGGAAATAAGGCCGGAGTCCTCTTAAGGCTATGACCAAGGCCAGGGCCATTTTTTCCAGCAGAGGGTAGTTCTGTTCTGCCCCCCTGAGAGCTCGGCTAATGTAATAAACCGGACGCTGTACTGAGCCGTCTTTTCTGATGAGGGCTGCACTGACTGCGGTGTTTGATACAGCTAAGTATAGAAAGAGGGTCTCGCCCGAGAGTGCCTGAGAGAGTAGGGGAGTTGGTTATGCACTGCTTTAATTGTTGAAAGGTCTCTTCAAATTCGGTGGTCCACTCAAAGGCCTGCCGGAGGACTTTGAAAAAGGGGAGGCACTTGTCTGTTGCGCGGGAAATAAAACGGTTGAGGGCGGCGATTCTGCCGGTAAGCTGTTGAACCTCTTTAACCGTTCTAGGTGACTGCATTTCTATCAGAGCCTTGATCTTTTCGGGGTTGGCCTCGATTCCCCCTGACTGACCATAAAACCCAAGAACTTCCCAGATCCTACGCCGAAGGTGTATTTCTCCAGATTCAGCTTCATTTGATACTTACGTAGGGTTTCAAAAGTCTCTCGCAAGTCTATCAGATGATCAGAGGAGAGCTTGATTTTGACAAGCATGTCATCGACGTAGACCTCCATGTTCCGACCTATCTAATGGTGAAAGACGGCATTGACCAACCGTTGGTAAGTTGCTCCGGCATTTTTCAATCCGAATGGCATAACACGATAGTGGTAAGTTCCTCTGTCTGTGATGAAGGAGGTGTGTTCTTGGTCAGCCAGAAACATCAGAATTTGATTATAGCCAGAGAAGGCGTCCATGAAACTGAGCATCTGATGTCCGGCCGTGGCATCGACAAGTAGATCAATGCAAGGGAGGGGATAACTATCTTTGGAGCAAGCCTAATTAAGGTCGGAGTAGTCGATGTAGAGTCGTCATTTACCATTATTTTTACGGACCAGGACCACTTTTGACAGCCATCTGGGGTAGTCCACGTTCTTGACAAACCGTGCCTCCAACAGTTTGTCTACCTTAGAAACAATAAGAGCATTGTATTCCGGGTGAAAGATACGCTGTTTTTGGCAGAAGGGTCAGAAATAGGGCTTGATGCTGAGACGATGAGTGATAAAGGAGGGATCGATACCCGGCATGTCAGAATGAGTCTAGGTAAACACATCATTGTGCTCAGTTAGGAGGGTTGTAAGGTCGGCCTTGGCTTGGGAGGATAGTTGGCTGCCGATCTTGGCTGTTTTTGTTGGGTTGGTGGGGTCGATGGGAACTTTAACAAGTTTTTCCACTGGTTCCCCTCTGACTAACTCATCTTCGTCTCTGACGTCGAGTCCTTTGATGATCATAGCCTCCTTCAGCTTGACCTCTTTGAGTGAAGCGACGTAGCATTCTCTGGCCACAGTCTGCTCTCCTCTCACGGTGCCAACTCCGAGGTCGGTAGGAAATTTCATGGCCAGATGGTATGTGAATGTGACAGCTTGAAAAGCATTGAGGGTGGTGCAGCTGAGGACGATGTTATAAGCAGAGGGACAATCGACGACGAGGAAAGTGAGCAACTTGGTGGTCTACTGTGGATACTCTCCGATGGTGATGGGAAGATCGATGGAGCCTATGGAGGTCACTCGATCCCCATTGAAGCCGACCAGTGGGGTTTGGAGAGGGGACAAACTTTCTTCCTCAACCTTGAGCTGGTGATAGACGTTTAGGAAGATAATGTCTGAAGAGCCACCGTTGTCGACAAGCACTCGTTTGACTTTGTAGTTGGACAAGAGAGCAGAGATGACAAGGGGGTCGTCGTGAGGGTAACAGATGCCTGTGCAATTGGCCTCCGTAAAGGTGATGGGCTCCATCTCCTGTTTGGGGTGTTTGAGGGGGCAGTCCAAAGTCGCGACTTCTTTGTCGGAGCTATGCCTGATTTTTCTGAGTTCGGCTCGCTGGGCTGAACGGGATGGTCCTTCGCACGCGAGTCCGCCAGCAATGACTCTGATCTCTCCAACTGGGGGAGTAGAGTTGCCTTGTGCTCAGGGTTATGGCGGGGGCCGATCATTGCCTTGCTTAGGTTGTGTGGGTTGTTGGGGGGAGTATGTCGGCGGTTGCCCCTAGCAAGTTCGGTCCTCAGCCGTTGCTGGGAACGGGCTGTCATGAATTGACTGAGGCACCCCTGGCGGATCAGGCTTTCTACCTGGTCTTTAAGGTTAACACATTCCTCGGTGTTGTGGCTGTGGTCCTGATGGAAACGGCAGTATTTGGATTGGTCTCGCCGGTTGGAAGGGGACCATGAGGGTTGTGGCCATTTCAAGTTGTAATCTCGTTGGATCTGGTTTAAGGCTTGTTCCATGGGGGAGTTGAGGGGTGTGTACCATTCGAACCGATCGGGCGGTCGGGTAGGTGCCGATCGGTCAGCTCGAGCTGTTTGATCGGCATACTAAGGTGGTTGCTATGTGTATTGGGTGGTTCTGGTTTCAGATTCATTCCTCTTCTCTCTGAGGGTTGGGTTTTTGGTTGTGGAATCTTGGTGGGCGACTAGAGAGTCTTCGGCATTCATGTATTTTTAGGATTTGGAAATGAGGGTTGCCATGGAGGTTGGAGGGTTTTTGGAGAGGGAAAAAAGGAAATCAGATGATCGTAAACCGGCCATGAAAGCCGTGAGAATGACCTTGTCATCGTTTTTCTGCCACCTGTAAGGCTTTGGTGTTGAAGCGGGTGACGAAGCTGCGCAGCGACTCCCCCTTCGTTTGACGGATGTTAAGGAGTTGGGTTGCCGGACGCCGTTGGCATTGGACACCAATGAAGTGGCTGAGAAATGAGTCACTTAGGTGCTGGAAAGTAGAGACAGAGTCCGTCGGCAGCTGACTAAACCACAGTCGGGCCGACTCCTTAAGTGTTATGGAGAAAGCCCGACACATGATCTCATCAGGGAATGCATGGAGGACCATCAGGGTCCTGTAAGTCTACAATTGGTCGACTGGATCCGTTGTACCGTCGAAAGAGTCGATCGAGAGCATTTTGAACATAGGAGGTAGGGGTTTGTCCCTGATGGAGGCGACGAATAGTGAGTTGGCTGTGGTGGAGGGTTTATTCTGTATGTTCTGCATGACTCCTTGAAGCTGGAGTTTCATGGCTCTGAGTTCCGCATCCCAAATAGAAACGTTGTCAACACCAGAATGCAATGGAGGCTAGACACTACTGGTCTCTTCCTTGAGAGCAGGTGCTTGGACTCGTGGATGTGGAGCCCGAGGTAGCGGGTTCATATCTTGGGGCGGGGGTCGCAAACCCTCCAAGTTGGAGAGGTGGAAGTGTTGGAAGGCATGGCTCGGCGTTCGTCATCGGTTCGGTGAGATATCTTGAGGTGGTGGAGGAGGCACATGGTGGTCTCGTTGAAGCAAAGCATTGATCAGGGCTTGGTTTTGTTCGGCTAGGCGGTTAGTGCTGTTGGTGAGTTCTGTGAAATACTATAGTGGGTTATTTGGGTTAAGATGATCGATTTAGGGGTCGGCAACGTTGTGTTGAGAAGCCATGGATCTAGTTGTGACCATCCACCTTGGTGGGTCGCAGGTAGGGATTATCGGGATGGGTCTCCGGCGACGATGAGCACAGTTGCCACACGGAGTGAAATGTTTCCCACAGACGGCGCCAACTGATGTTGCTACTAGTCTCTGATGAACGGGTCGGACTGATCCAGGCCTCTCACACGGTTGTCCGATCGCTGGCCCACTGAGAAACCTACACAAAAGTTCAATAGGGAACGGGAGTCCCCCAACGAACCCTCTGACGAGCAAGTTAAAGAAGAGAGTTTAACAGAATATTGAGATAGGATGATAATAAAGAGCTTAACTTTCTCCTTGTCTAAGAAACCTGCTTATATCCTTTGCTCATCATTTCCTTGTTCATTCCGACCTGTCACGTTGGCTGAAATTCTATATTCTAGCTTGCCTTGTTCATGGTGAGGCCGTTCTGTTCCTATGTGAAGGGGTTATCGTAATAAATGCTGGAGGGAACCTCATTAATGGCTGATGCGTGGTGCAATAACTATACAGGATCTTTGTCTGCTTATGTGGCTGGTTCATCTCTTGACAAGTGTTTAGATGTCATTGGTCCTTGGTGCAACGTTAGGCTACAGCAACGTTGAGTTTTGGTGTTTGAATTATGTATTGGGTCCTAAGTGGCGGGCCAAAAAATCCCTATAGGCCCACCTATGTCAATTATAATTTTGACATAATTATATTAATATTTTTTTAGTAAAATTAAGTTAATTAAAATTAATATAAACATTCAAAAAAACATAAAAGTAGATAATATAAAATATAATTTTTGTATAAAGAATATGACAATATATTTTTAACAACCACATATACGGAACTAATAAAATATTTGAGAAAAGTAAAGGATCCATATTAATTAACCTAGAAAATTCTGAGTAAGTGGATGTGTAATGGAGATTAATTTGTGTAATTTAAAATTCATAGATAGAATAAATTTAAATTACAAGTGAGTGATTGTATATTGAAAATTAATTTATGTAATCTAAATTTCATATATAGAATAAATCTAAATTAAAAAATGAAAATTTTGAATAATTTAAATAAAGTGGGTTCATAGTTTTTATTTGGGAAGTGGGTTAATTTTTGATTTTTTAATTATTTTAGCCTGAATTAAAAAGGCTCGTGATGAGTTTTTTGATCTTTTGATTTTTGTAAAAAAATATTTATAATTTAAACATGAAATTTTATTTTATTAATTTTATTTTACTCTATTTATTTATTTATTTTTGACTAAAATAACTCAACTTGAAGTGGCAAACATAGCCATACCCTCATACCTTTTACGCGTAAGTGGTGCGAGGGTTTTATGGTCAAAGGGTTTAGTTATCTGGTTTTGTAGCCTCTCTTCTCTTTCTGTTGCGGGTGAGCTAACCCTCGCTCCTTCTCTCTCTCTCTCCATTTTTGCTTTTATAACGCATATTCATATCAATCTCAATCAATGTCTCGAAAACCTAAAATGATTGATTCTTTACAGAGAAAATAATGCTCGAATCTAAATTTCTGGGGGGAGAAACTGAGTGGGTGATTTTTACTAGCTGGTACTGAAATCTGAGTCCTCTTCCTTGCTGATTTCTGTTGGCAGCATAGCATAGCATAGCATGGCTGTGTCGGTTTCAAGAAGGCTGCTGCGTTCTTTTGGGTCTTTGCACACTCATGGCTGGTCTGATTCCCCAAGGATCTCATTTTCACCATTTTTTAACTATGATGGTATGTGTGATTTCTTTTTTTTTAATAAATAGATTTTATATTGGGAATGATTGTAAATTTGTTCTTTTTCCCTCTTTCCAAACAGCATTGTATGGACATAATTCTGGGGATAGGCTATCCTCTGTGGAATCTTATAGGAAGGTACATTTTTTTGCTCTTATATATCATCTGTTTTCTTTGTTTGAATGCCATTTTAAAAAAATAAAAAAAATTGAAATTTCTCTAGGATTTGCATTGATTGGTTTCTTATTTTTTTAAATCCTTTTATGAATGTGTTTGTGCAAAAAAAAAAAAAAAAAAACACAACTTTTAATGGACATTGCTGAAAGGGTGTTGAATTGCATCACAAGTCTTATTTTTTGTTTTGACCATCAATGATCTCTTTCTCATCATGGGATCGTGCTATTGCGCAATTGGAATAACTTGTGGTTGGTTATTATGTTTAAGTGCATGATGAGCGGTTAAACAATTGAAGTACGGACTAATTATTTTAAACTTGACTATTAGTTAAGATAGCATACATAATCCAACGGATTTGTAGTCCTAGGACTATTAGTCATGGGAATGCTAATCCAGTCCGCCCAAACAAACATGACCGTAATGGACATTGCTGAAAGGGTGTTGAATTGCATCACAAGTCTTATTTTTGTTTTGACCATCAATGATCTCTTTGTCATCATGGGATCGTGCTATTGCGCAATTGGAATAACTTGTGGTTGGTTATTATGTTTAAGTGCATGATGAGCAAGGAGTGTAACTCTGGATTTTGCAAGAATCTCTGGCATATTGTAAATGCACATTTTATTACATCTTAGTTGTGGCCACCTACTTGAAATTGCCTGTTATAAAGCTGAACATCCTTTTTATGCACAGAGTTACAACAACTTGCTTATAACATCATAGTTTTGTTATTCAGTCATGCTATGCGTACTGAAACCATGTTTTCTCATAAACAATCTTTTGTATTTCATCCTTCACAATGTCTTTATTTTATATATATATATATATATATTTATTTCAATATCGAAAGTAAAGTTAAATTTTTTTCTGGTAGTTTGTTGCATTCTGTTCCTTTTTTTTTTAGTAAAAATTTTAAGGATGAAGAATGGGGCGAGGGATGTTTCAACTCTTGGAATATCAACTATAAGCCTGTTATTTTGTTTTTCTATGTAGAATGGGTCATTTTTCATTGCTTGTCGAAGGCTTTCAACTTCTATCCTAACTCCTGACTCAAGTGATGGTGCATTTCCCTCTGATTTATTATCCAGAAAGCAAGTTATAACTCCAGAACGTACACAAGGTATGAGCGGCATGTAAGATATGGTATTTTAAGTTCTCAGCTTTTTGTATGTAACAAAAAATGAAAATTTCTAGGTTAATGTTGCTCAAAGAAACAGGTTATAATAATTGAAATACTCACTTTAATTTCTGCTGTCATGTTGGCTATGCATTGGGAGTTCTTAGTTACCAAAAGATGATGGCTATGGAGGTGGCTATTATGGCATGATTTCTTTGAACTCGCACATAGTTCACATATATCTTGGTGTTTATTTTTTGTTGGCACCCATGCTAGCCCTTTTTGTGGTGACCATTTAGGGTGCTATCATCCGTTTGCTTAATTTGGCAGCATGTATAGGGGAAAGTAAATATTTTGTATTGAATCAAAGTAATTTACAATCTGAAGGCATTTAGAACTGAAATAATGTTGGTGGGATGGGACCCTTTTCCAGTTGTCACAGTTTGTCAAGGGCCTAGATCATACACTATCCCATAGGTGGAACTCTTGGTAAGAGTTTTGGGTGTCTCTTTTGTACACCCTTTATCCAAAGATGATGATTAATGAAATTTTGTAGCATACTTCAAAAATTGTGAACAATATAAAGTAAGAAGGTTGTGTGATCTCTCATGAACTACAATTTCAACATTAAAAGAATGACTGCTTGATGCTTTTTCTTTCAACAAAGAAAAGGTTGTATGGATATTTTAGTAATTCACAATGTATATCCCATTGTAAGTCATATATATTTTTAGTTTCTTTACTGTTTTTCACTCCATGATTCTTCGTGTGGAAAATATACATACACTCAAGGAAAGGTAAGGAATATGGCTTGTTTGTCTTTCAATTGTAAATGTAATATTGATTGATTCTGATTGATTACAAGATTGTTGTATTGATCTGTATATTACAATTCCTATATATAGAGGAGAAGATGGTAGTGGAGTGTGTGATAGTGGAGGTGGTAGGTGTGGAGAAAAATAGTGGAGGTAGTAGGTGAGTGGTAAATTCTAACAAGTTTCTTAACTGTTTTTCACTCCATGATTCTTCGTGTGGAAAATATACATACACTCAAGGAAAGGTAAGGAATATGGCTTATTTGTCTTTCAATTGTAAATTGTGGAAGTCTTTTGTTAATTTATGGGATTGTTTTTGTAGGACTCCTCCAGGACCTGGTGATACCTGTGACAAATTTTCATAATGAAGACAAAGGTCTTATGGTTTTGGCTGGTGATGTTTTTGATGTGCCTATTAGGAAGGATATTGTTCACCGTGTTGTTCTATGGCAGCTTGCAAAGAGACAACAGGTATGATGTAACCTTTTCTATTGTTCACCGTGTTGTTCCATTGTCGCTAGTTGTGACAGCTTCATGGTGACCACCAAAATGGTTGCTTCCACCAAGCCCCAACCCTCTTCTCATTGTATTCCAACTTGTGTCTTCTTAAAAATGGTGCCCTTTATATCATTAGGGGGAAAAAAACATTTATTCCAAAAAGTTTCCCCAAAAAGGTGTGTAATATAGATTCAAAGTTGGTATGATTGTTCTAAATAAATTTTCTGGGTATGTAGTATTATTGTATACATAATCACACACGCACACAAAACAAAATTGTGGGTAAAATGCAAGTATTTATAATTTTTTTTGTGATTGGTACTCACGCAAAGTATGTTTGCATATATAATCAGTAAAATTATATACTAAAATGTACTTATACAAATTAAGACATGAAAATTATTACAAAGCTCAAAAAGATAAAAATCTAGTCTTGTTGCCTTTATTATTTAGCAAAGTTCGGAAATGTCAAACTATTGGATTCTTAATTTGATATTCTGTTTCTTCTGCCTCTATTCTTTGTTCCTCTTTTTGGGGTGATGGTTGATTGGTTGGTATGGGATAGGTTAAGGTGTTTTACTTGGATGTCTGCATTTCACTGATGTTATTTTTTCGAACTCTTCCCATGAAGGTCTGTTTCAGTTCTTGCTTATCTCACTTCAACATATGGTCGTGGTTAATGTGAATGACAATCTTCCAATTTATATGTAACTAATCTATCCTCTTAAGTTGTGGTTTATTTATGAAGTGTGGTGTCACTTAAAGTATGCTGGGTGATCGACCTACAGGGGACACATTCAACAAAAACTATTAGTGAGGTCAGTGGGACTGGGAGGAAGCCATGGCCGCAGAAAGGCACAGGTCGAGCAAGGCATGGAACACTGCGTGGGCCTCAGGTGATATATTATTCTGTTGTCTGAGAAGGATTGATGACCTTCACCATTTCTTGTTTCTGAGGTGCCGTAAAATGTATATTAATGGATTTAAAGGATGGATAACAGTTTAGGGGTGGTGCTGTTATGCATGGCCCCAAGCCTCGAAGTCATGCATTCAAGCTCAACAAGAAGGTTCGTCGACTAGGACTAAAGATAGCACTGTCAGCTCGGGCAGCAGAAGGAAAGGTAAGTTTCTCTTTCGCTGTCTCTGTTTGTTATTTAAGAAGTTTGATATTTTCATGTATGGTTTGCTCAAATCATGATTTGCTAGGAGCATATTCTTTTTGTTTAACAGAGTGGTTGGGAGCAGAAAATAACGTGGGAGAGAATAGGTGTCCCTGTATTTTAGAACCTCTTTTCTTTATAGTTGTATAGTGATGGGTTGTTTTTTTTTGCCTTATGTTTCTTTTCTCTACCCTCTTTAGATTTTAATTTGAGGCTGTATGCCTATCTCAAAGGATGAGGTTTGAAAGGTTACTATCGGAGAGAAAAGACAAAAGAATGCATTTAGCCATTGAAAAATTGCATGGTTTGCATCCAAATTATTGATAAATCCCAAATGACTGCTGTAATTGATCTTGTTGATTAGGCACTTAATACTTGCTTGTATAGTTCAAAAGTGTGCATTTCTGAGGCCACAGCAGATTTTTGTGATTTTTGATAGGACAGCAAATGGGGAAAGGTATCATAACTCTGCATCTTTCTGAGATGTTTTTATGCATCAATGGAAGGAGAAAATGTGCTCCTTCTGATAGAACAACTTTCATACTAAAAATCAAAATCAGAGTTTTGTAGTATTGGGCTTAACAATACATTTGGTACAATATTTCCATGGTGAGGGAAGAAGGTCAGTGGCATTAATTTTGGTTGTGGAACTCTAACTTGAATGTCTTGCCAAGTTTCTTTACTTCAAATCCCTTTTAAGTTTTCTAATCTTGATAGTATGGTAGGGGTGTTTGGTGTGTTTGCTTGGTAAAGTTGATAATTACAGTTCCTACTGCATCGTGTTTGAAATGTGGTTTTAGAGGATTGGTAATGTTAAAGTGGGGCCCAACACTCTATTTGAGTTATCTGTGGACCAAAATTTGTGTAGAATCTGTATCAGAACTAGCATATACAACTATACATCTGAGGGAATCGTGATGCTAGAGTATTGTCAGGCATAATTCCATGATTATCGTTATTTGGTGGGTGGCATTCAAGTAAAATCTCAGTTGAAAAATCTAAATGGCCCCCGAGATATTGATTCGTGATTATGTTTTAATTCTAAATAGTGAATACCAATTCCAATCAAACAATCAAGAACAAATCGACACAACAATTTAATGTGGAAAAAAATCACAAAGCGCCTTCAATTGTGATAAAAAATCATGGGTCAAAGTCTCAAAACAATTCACTAAGAAGACAAAAACATGAATTACACAAGAATACTATCAATTACCTAGTGAATGCACACCCGAATTGAACTAAATCTGATGTGCCTTTTCCACCACTGTCTTCACCTTGGAATTGTCTTGCCCAACGTTGAATTCACAATACTGATGTCAAATCCACGATGATGAACCACTCAGGAATCTACCAAAGCTTCAGGCCCAAGTTCTCCAGAATCGACCAAAGAACACCTCTCTCTTTTGCGAACATAATAGAAAAAATAACCCCGTAATGAATTCAATATGAAGCTTGTAGATTCATTGATCACTCTCAAATCATCAAGAAAACACTTATAAAACACCCTCTGATATACCACACTTTGGTTTTTCTTTTTCTCTAAAAGTTTGTACAAGTTCAACCCTAAAAACAGAGAACGGTGCACTTTACAGAAAACAGAGCTGCGAAGATTGGTCGAGCGCACACTTCACTGCTCGAGCAGTATGAGTAAAGGCAGTGCAAAACATATAGGCCTATCGCTCGAGTGCACATTTCACCGCTCGAGCGGTGAAACATCTTTCCCAGAAGTGCAGTTTGCAGGCAGAGATACTAGATGTTCCTATTCACCGCTCGAACGCACAAATGACCGCTTGAGCGGTCAAACAACTTTAGCTTCGGGGGCGCTCTATACATAATTAGTGAAGTGGCAAACATGAAAGATTTAAGATCACAAACTCCTCTGTATAAGCATAATTCGGGTTGGATTTGCATCTAAACACTTACATCCTTACTGAAACAAAAGAGTGAATAAAATTACAACTGTAAGGAGTTTTGTCAAACGGGAATTGCCAGTTACAAAAACCTAACATCATTTCTAAACATTTATTTGACATCCAATAAACAACCCTGCTTGGTTTTGAATTCACGTTGCATAAGTAATTTAAGAAGCACAGACACGGGCACGTGACACGATATGGACACATCGACATAAATATTTTAGAAAATGTTACACATGAGACATTGGGGACATGAAAAATATAAAACATATTGAATAGGACAGAAGGTTCAAAGTAGACTCTACTTAATCAGATAATAGATCTACTGTATATAATAAACATCAACCCTTGAAAATGGCTACAACAATCATAGCCTATTGCATTGTATGTAGTTTGATCAAAGTCCCTTGTGTCTTATGTGGTTACTTAGTTGAATTTGTCATTTGCTCTTGAAAAGAAGTGAGGATTTCATCCTGCAAACGTGAATGAATTTATTTGCATGCTAGTCCATTTTTGTGTTGGAATATGCTTGAGTCTATCTGATTACTGCCTATTTCTGATTACATTTTGCTTTGTTGTGTATTTGTCTCTCTCTATATATATTGAAGTATGGCCATGATGAGCTCATTTTCTCAAGCTCAGGATTTTTATTTTTATTTTTGGCTTCAGTTTTTTGTTTGTATTATACCATTGTTCTTTCAAGCCTATTGCCTTCTGTTTTGTGTGCATTGATTGAGATACGGTTATAATGAGCTTATATTCTCAATTCAATGCACATGAATATTTTGTTTTCTCAGTATTATTGTGCCATAGTTCTTTTGCGCCTGAAGTTATCATCATCATTAGCATCTATACATATTTAAAATGGTTAACAGGCAGATTTGGTTTTTTTAGCTATCAGTAAGAATAGGATCGAAGGCTGTATTATGACCTCAAACAGATTTTTCCAACAAATAGCTGGGTCTTCATCTTTGTTTTCATCATCAAACATAGTGTTTATTAGTTGGATGTATCCTGTTCAATCAATGGATTAAATTTTGGCAATCTTCAATAAGAATTGCTGTTCTTGCTCAGATCTTGTACTACAGTCTTGCTCATAAATTACTTGTTTGTTTGTGTCTTATCTGTAAGATTTGTTCATGGAATTTGTTAGAGTGCAGGTTTCTTGGTTTTTCCTTTTGTTGCATGTATTGATTATTATTGCACTTTGAGCTTTCTATATACATCCAAACTAAAGAAAACTGCGTCGATATACAGCTCATGGTTTTTGAGGATTTTGAGGTTCCTACACATAAGACCAAGAACATTGTGAACTATGTCAAGCAAATGGAGGAAGCAAAGAAACTTCTGCTGGTGGATGGTGGCCCAATAAATGAAAAGCTAAAGTTGGCTACACAAAATCTTCATTATGTTAACGTACTGCCTTCAATTGTAAGTCTTGAAATTTTGTTTCAAGTTTCTTCATTCATTTTAGTAAACATTATAAGTACCCAATTTGTAGTCCTCACTCAAGATATTTCTTAAGCGAAGTCTAATAACTCACTAATGAAGTGTTAATTTTTTTTTTCTAGTTTTTATGTTTTTATTTTTTATTTTTTTTTATGTGGGATGTTTATAGGATGTTCTTCAAATATGTACTGATTTATTAGGGTTTAATGACTTGGGGGGATGCACATGGTTTCGACTCTGCTGCCTGCACTTATTCATGTTCTTGATAACATTCAAGAGTTTGTCCAAGTTAATAACTAATCATGTGTAACACTCTTCTTGCATGTAATTTGATGAACTGAAAATTATTAATCAACTTTGCACGTCTTGCTTTTCTCCCATGAAAGTAATGCTTTTCCCATTCAATTTGTTTACAACTATGACCCAATTTTATTATTATCACTACCTTCAACTGGCTTTTTATCATTTTCAATTTTTTTTTGGGTTCAAACTGAATTAAACTCTCAAGCAAGATACTTCTAGAAGCTTAAATATATCACAATGTCAATTTGGTATTAGAACCTATGATCCCAAGGTTGCTAGTTTGATTAGATTTTATGGAAGTCACTTGGCTTGGCTTATGTCTTTGTTGTTAAATCATCTTGTTCCAATTTATTATTTTGCAGGGTTTAAATGTCTACAGCATTCTTCTACATGACACATTAATGATGTCCCGTGATGCTATAAATAGGATTGTTGAGCGGATGCACACTCCAATTAACCGCTGAAGCAGATTCTGCATTCCATTCAGCTCACAAGGCCGGTGTCCAAGTAGGGTTTTTGTAGCTTCTTTTATTTTAGAAGAAATTATGAAAGCACAGAAAATTCCGGTGTATGTTCTTATTCTTAAGCTGTGGCTGGATGTCATCTTTAGATAACCTTGTTTTGAGAATTTTGTATTCATTGTGGTGTTGCGCCCTAGCATGTAACTGCTGTAGATTGAGCGAACAAATTTGTGACAGGATTGTTACTATCTTTTTCATAAAAAATTTGCTGCAACTTATATGTTGAATTTTTCGCATGTTGTTATTACTTCTGTAGTTGGAAGATTTGGTAGGTTCTAGACAGAAATTTGTCTTCAAATTCCCTCCCAAATGTGTTTTTGCTGCAGTTAAAAGTTATTTGCGGAAATAAACCTTTGTGGTCTTTTTTTATTTATTGTTTTTTAAACTATAGCATTAATAAATAATTGACCATGGAAACTGAATGATAAAATGTAAATTATTAAATAGATAATAAATAACCAATAAATAAAGAGCAAAACACAGTCCCAGAATTAGACTGAAGTAGTGTTTGTAGATTCTTTAATGAATCATAATGGGATTGTAAGAACTATTAGGTCTCGAAAGATCTCTGTTTATCTCAATCCAACTAGATGCAGGCATTTTTTTTACATCCCTAGTTTCCATTATCTCTCTCAATGTAACCACGCCATCCCATTTGCTCGAACCAGCAAGAATGTTAGACAACAACACATACGACGGAGGATCTTCTTTGTCTAGATCTAATGCATGCTCCGCTACACGCATTGCAGTTTCCATATCCCCATGAACCCTACAAGCACCAAGCAACGTCTTCCAGACAAGCCTACCTGCTTGAAATGGCATTCTTAGGATCAATTCCTCAGCTGCTTTGATCTGCCCTGCACGACCCATGAGGTCTACCATACATGCATAGTGATCTTCTCCGGGTAAGATTCCATAGTCTTGGGTCATGGAAGAGAAATACTTCCACCCTTCATTGATGAACCCTCCTTGGCTACACGCATAAAGCACACAAATGAAAGTGACATAATTAGGCTTCTCGCCCTCCAACTTCATCTCACTAAAAATCTCAAGAGCTTCCTTGGCAAATCCATTTTGTGCATAACCCATTATCATTGTCGTCCATGACACAACAGATCGGTCATCCAATGATCGGAAAACCCCCAATGCACTATCCATGCATCCACATTTTACGTACATATCAATTAGAGCATTATCCACACAAACATCAATATCATCACTGAGTTTAATTCTCAAACCATGAACTTTCTTCCCTTCCTCTAAAGACGCTAAATTCGCACAGGCATTAAGGGCGGTGGCAAGAGTGAATTTGTTTGGCTTCACACCGATCCTCCTCATTTCTCCAATGACTCCAAGCGCTTCCTTTGGTTCCCCACAATTTATACAACCGGTAGCCATCTGAGTCCACGACCAGACATCTTTCGAAGGAATTTCCTCAAATGCTTTGAAACCAGCACCGAAGTTTTGATTTTTCAAGTACATATCTACCAAAGAATTCCCCACACACATCTCACTCCCGTGACCGAACTTGACAAGCTGAGCGTGGACTTGCAGACCCAATTCAAGATCAGAAAGATCGGCCAAACCAGTGAGAACACTTGCAAAAGTGAAGTTATCAGGCTTGACTCCCTCGCAATTCATCCTAAGCCAAAAACCCGGTATTTCCAAGTTCGAAAACTGCAAGTACCCGGCAATCATGGCATTCCAAGACACAATATCCTTATCCAAACACTTGTCAAAAGCATCCGAAGCCTCTCCCAATTCACTATGCCGTATCAGAGCCGTCAAAAAAGCATTCAACAGAAAAACATTGGATTCAAATCCAGACCGGACAATCAAGGCGTAAATTTGGCGGGCAACGTGATTTGAAATTTGAGACGACGAGCAGGCCTGAAGGGCACCCACAAAGGTAAACTCATTGGGCTTCGTTCCGTGTCGGCACATGTGGCGGAACAGAGAGAGAGCATCGCCAGGGCAGCCGTGGAGGACTAAGCCGGTAACGAGGGAGGTCCACGACACGACATTCTTGTCTGGCATTTCGTCGAACAGTTGGAGAGCAGTTGGGAGATCACCTGATTTGAGGTAGAAATTGAGGAGGTGATTGCGTAGAAACAGGGTAGAGTGAAGAGGTGTTTTGATGAGTTTGGCATGAATTGATTTGCCAGTGAGGAAGGCAGAGGATTCGATGCAATGCCGCAAAAGATGAGAGTAGTGGTAGGCCTCCTGGTGTTGTTGAGCCACAGAGCAGTTTGGTTTGGAGAAAAAGAGAAGGAAGCCAGAAGAGAGAGTTGATAAAACAAAAGGGAAAGGTGGCCTCCTCAAGGTGAGTTGGGAAAGAAGGGTTGGTGGTGTTGTAAAGAGCGTTTGTTTGTGTTTGGAGGCTTCATTCTCGTTTTGGCATGGCAGTATAACACCAAAATATAATAAACAATTTTAGCCTCAAATCTAATCACCCAGAAATGTCAAAACAATTTTGTTGCATATTATATATACAAAGTTTAGGCGTCTCAATTCTCTCAATTAATATAAAACTCTTAAGACTATAGGTTATAGAGAAACTTATTTTGAAAGGTTTGTTTGGACGGTAAGAACTTAATCAAGTGCGTAAAAATGAACTTAATCAAGTGCGTAAAAATGGACTCAAGATACCTACATCTATTTATCCATCTATACTATTAATAAAGAGAATGCCTTAGTTAGTGTCGTGAAATCACCCTCCACTTTAATGTCAAATATCTATTTTGTCATTAAAAAAAAAACTATTAGACAAATAATGGGCACGAGACTCGAACGAGCTGTGAACAAATAATATAATGAACAATGCTTTTATCACTTGAATCAAACACAATATATATGATAAATATTCTATTTTATTTTTACTTATTTAAATTGTATAGATATTGCATGTGCCAACCACTAATAATAAATATATATAAACACAGAATGCGTATTATAAAATTTTCATATTTTGTATGGTCACTGAAAGTTATTTGTAATGGGGCAATTTGGGAAGATTAACTTTTTAGCTTTTTTTAATTTTTTGACTTTTTTGGATTATATCACTTCTTTACTGTTCTATACAAAAAAATTAAAAAAATAATTTTTTACCATCTTTTCAAAACACCACAATGTCACCGCAGATATGCATGCTATACAATGGAGAGTAGGAGTAACAAATGTGCAAGTACTTCGTTTCTTTTTGTAAATTAGCCAAGTAACGTTGTTTTTAACAAGGGTAAATCACCATTTTTTTCACCTTAAATTTTAACTCCTTTTACTTTGACTTTGGATCTTTAATTTTTCTTCTTAATTCCTTAATATTTCTATTTTTTACAATTTACTGCAACTTTTATCATCCATTTAATTTTAGATAAAAATGTCACGTTAATAATTAGAGGATTCCACCGTAGTTGCATTGTGATGTATTTATAGTTATGTTACAAATACATCCATTTCTATATCAGGGCTATGCTATGGCCTAGGTGGCCATGCCACCCCCTTAATTCTTTAAAATTAAACTTTTACCTATCAATTCCAAGAATATTTTCATAATGTATATGGAATGGCTCTTTTATGTTTTTAAAAAATTCTATTTATCTCTATTTCAATGGTATTTTTACAATTTATATGCGATGACCGCTCTAATATTTTAAAAAATAAATAAATTCTATTATTAACGTCAATGTGTTGATTTGATTTTAGATGTCATAGGTTCAAATTACGAAAGCAGTCTCTCCACATATAGATAAAGTTGCGCACATTTAACACTTTCTAAATCTCATAATATTGATAATCTTGTGTGCAAGAACTGCTTTTTTACACTTATTTTTCATTTTTTGTAAATACATTTTCTTACTCCATCTCTGTCTACACCTAGTTATACACCCATATAGAGGGAGGATGTGTAGGTTCCATACACAACGTCCCTCTCTCCATGAGAATTAGAAGATGAAAGTAATTTATTTTATTCAAAAAGTGAATATAAAATAGCTTACTATTCACCAAAACTCCAACCATAAATCTTCATTTATTCTCTAAATATTTCCCTCCAAATATTTCCCTCAAAAAGTAATTTATTTTGTTCATTAATAAATATTTTATTTCCATTAATAAAATAGCTTACTGTCCACCAGCTCGAGTATTCTATCCTTGTAAAAAATCACGTTAATTGGATATCAATAATTACTTAATTATATCACAAATTTGATATCTGATTAAGTGGCTATTGATATCTGATCAATATAATTTTTTGCAGGGATAAAATACTCAATGAGTCATATATATTGAACGGTTCAAAACATCAAGTGGACTCTATGGTGAGCTCACAAAGACCTAACAATATGCTTCAATTTGATTTTAAATTGGAAAGGAACCACTACTTTGTATTTTATAACATATAATTAAAAATGCAAAAAGGATATAATTGGTAAATAAAGTCAAAAGAAAAATGTCTTGAGGGCAAAATTGATATTAAAAAAATGAATAGTGTTATGGAGTTTTTTTTGGGACTGGAAACCCTAAGGTTGGACCAATTTATGACTCGACCCTACAAGCCAATCTGAAAGAGATGTCAAGAAACACGCCCTTCACCCCACAATTTCAATCAATTACTATAAGAAAGTTGGTATAAATTTCAATTACGCAGGCCGTTATTTTACTAAGGTCAAGTTTGGCTAAATTAAAAAAGTGTGCTTATTTTATCTTTTATCTTTTTTGGGTCACATCAATCAACATTTCCTCTCTACTTTTTCTATACATAATACAAAAAAAGTCAAAAAATATACTTATTTAGTCTTCCCAAACTTAGCCTAACTCATCAAACCTTTTGAATTGTGTTATGGAGGTTATTCTCAATTTCTTATACTTCTTCAAAATATGGATTATGAACCACTTCCTCCTCTCTTAGATATGCTCGTAGAGAATGGGTATCCTTCAAATATAAAGATATAGAGAATGGGTTGGAGATGCACCAAATAGGTGTGCTTTTGTCTTTATTTGACATATTAATATATTATTATTATACAAACTTAAATACATTACATTATTTCTGTTTTTTTAAAAAAGATAATGAGTAATATTTTTTATTTTTTTATTTGTTACACTAAATTAGTTTTTAATTTTTTTAAAAAATTTAAAAATTAATTTTGAAAAACCAAACGAATCAAAGTTACAGTGGAAAAAAAAAAAATGAAGTTTGTAAAATGTAATTTATTAAAAATTTGTATAATAATGAATTATTATGTCATGTGAAAAATAGAATCCCCTTCATTCCAAAATTTAGGAGTTTAGATTGGAAAAAGGTACTGGAAAATTTAAAGGAATTCTGATATATAATTTACTTTAAAATTTTAATATTGAGGGAAGGAGAGAGGGGAGAGAGAGAGAGAGAGAGAGAGAGGTGTATAGGAAGCACATCACATGGCTTCGTTGCCGCTGGGACCTCACCATCCTCCAGACAACCATCACCATGACCTGTTGAAGCTCGCGCCTCCCCGTCCGCCGGAAATGGACTCCGATAAGGTACTTCCGCCACTCTCTCTCTCTCTCTCTCTCTCTCAAAAGGAAAAAGTTGGTGAACCGCTTTAATGATCCATCTAAGGTACATAATTTTTGGTCCATTAATTGAATATGCAACTATGTGAGCTGACTTGATGAAACAAGTTCAATTTACATCTGTCAGGAAGAGTTTGTCTTTCTCTTGAGCAGCAAGGCTAGTGGTTGTGGCCTCAATTTGATAGGTGGGAATCGACTGGTCTTATTTGACCCTGATTGGAATCCTGCCAATGACAAACAAGTAATTACTTTCCCTAAATTTTCATACAGGACCTTGACGTGTTTCAAAAAAGAAATAACCCTATTGTTTTTCCATGGCTTCTGTGTTTTTGTCTTTTATTGTTATTATTATTATTTTTTGACTCATGCAGGCTGCTGCAAGAGTCTGGAGAGATGGACAAAAAAAGTGAGTGTATATCTATAGATTTTTGGGGTAGATTGGGTCTGACCAGTCTTTCTTCTTTGTTGCTTTTATTGTTGCCCTTTGTAATAATCTAATCAACCTATTGCTTAGATTGGGTAGATTGTGCCATTTGATGCTTTCTTCAAAGCTATGGTCATATCATTTTGCTTTTCCTTAGCGTACTTCTTTAGATCTTCGCTCATTGCTTCAGTTAGATTCATTTCTCGGAACTTCATTTGCTTTTGAAGTAATCTGTTCAATTATGGTAATCATGTTTGATTGTTGATGCTAGTTAGATTACATACTTTGTTCTTTGTGGTATCATCATCATCATCATCATCATCATCATCATCAGGGTCCTTGTAAAGGATTTATTTATTTATTTATTTTTTATATATATTTATTTTATAAGAAGTTGTAGAGGATGTGATTGATTTCATCGTCAGTTATGGTAGTCTGTGCTTGTAATAATCATCCAATTTGGTTCACATTGTAGGAAATGACACCTGCTGTAATTGAGGGAAATGATCAAGTCACTGGTCACATTATTTCCACTACAATTGGTGGAAAAAATGGCGAGCCTAAACGGGTGAGGGCTACATTTATTTAATATTCCAGTTCTAGTGGCTATTATTGTTAAGTATGTAATAAGCCGCTTGTATTTTATTTTCTTTTGGGTGTACATAAACTATCCACTGTTAATTCTTGTAAAAGGTTTAAATTTATTAATAATTTATCTACTTCCTAGGGAATTTGTTGTTTTTGCAGAGTTACATGTCCTCTTTAGACCTAAGCATTGAGACATTGAAATTTTTTTTATGTAGTCTGAAGGTTGAACTTCTGAGGAGATTCACAAGTGAATGTCTTTTATTTTATTTTATTTTTGGGTAATTCCTGCAACTTGGGAAGCTAAGCTGTTGATTTATAATGCCTTTTGCAGACCATTAGTTACATGGCTGAGCGTGTAGTGGGTACTGGATCATTTGGAATTGTTTTTCAGGTAATGTAATCTGAGTTTTATTTGAACTTCAGTAATTCCAGTATCGATGATGATTTAATATCACTTTCATTCAGGCAAAATGCTTGGAAACTGGAGAAACTATGGCCATAAAAAAGGTCTTGCAGGACAGGCGGTACAAAAATCGTGAGCTGCAGTTAATGCGTTTGATGGATCACCCAAATGTGGTTTCTTTGAAGCACTGTTTCTTTTCTACAACAAGTAAAGACGAGCTTTTCTTGAATTTGGTCATGGAATATGTCCCTGAGACTATGTACCGCGTTCTGAAGCATTACAGCAATGCAAATCAGAGGATGCCGCTCATCTATGTCAAACTTTATACATATCAGGTTTGAATATATATATATATATATATTCTTTGTTACTCTTTTATTTCCCCTTAGCCTGATAAAAGTTGAAAATGCTTGTCAGATATTTAGGGGGCTGGCTTATATTCATACTGTTCCTGGGGTTTGCCATAGGGACGTGAAGCCTCAAAATCTTCTGGTATGTTATTCTATATCTGCTTTCTTGACTGAGTTGGAGTGTTTATCTTAACCTGCTGTCTGTTTATTCGCAGGTTGATCCTCTCACCCATCAGGTTAAGCTTTGTGACTTCGGAAGTGCAAAAGTTCTGGTATGCTTATTTGCCTTGTCAATTATGTTTTACATTTTTATTGTCTACAATGTCTAAATATTTGACTGTTAAGAGCAGACAGATCAGTTCTTTCTGAATTACATGTTGTTCTACACCATTTGAAGTTCCAATTTGAATTACATTATAAGTTATGAAGGTTGTATGATACAATCTGATGAGTGGCAGTACTCATGTGAGGATTTTATGTGGAACACATTTGGACTGTGATAATGTTGGAAGTGAAATTTTTTTGCAAAATTTATTGCATCTAACCAGATTTAGGAGCTATGTACTTGTGAACATGAGCTTCGACTAACTTGACAATGCCGTTCATTTGTAAATAATGCTCGACTTTCCTTTATATGGACACTACTCAAATCTAGGGTTCTTAGTGAGTGAAGCCAGCTTGGCATGCTATAGGCTGGCTGTTCCTTCTTTCTTTCTAACAAATTTAAGAGGGATAGTCGGTTGACTACTTGCACAAAATAATCCACAAAAAAATCACCTTGCTTGATCACGAGTTTCCATGCATGCTAATAAGAGAGATAAACCAAGAGAGAGGAGACAACTAGGCTCTGTGGTTTGTTCCTGCACTATTGTTTTTGTTTCTTTTTTGCCTTTCTTTCTTTCTTTTTTTGGGATAAATTCGCTGCATTTTGATAGCCTTATTTCATCAAGATTTATGTTGTAATCAGGTCAGGGGTGAAGCAAACATATCATACATATGTTCTCGTTACTATCGTGCTCCAGAACTCATATTTGGTGCAACAGAATACACAACATCAATTGATATTTGGTCAGCAGGTTGTGTCCTTTCCGAGCTTCTTCTGGGGCAGGTTTGTGACTTTATAGCATCTGCTACTAGCACTTTCTTGATTATTATGTCGAATGTATTTCTTCCAATATATTTTGCTTACCTCACTTTCTTCCAAATTTTATCATAGCCCTTGTTTCCTGGAGAAAATGCAGTGGACCAACTTGTAGAGATTATCAAGGTGCTGCATCATTCTCTGTATTCATATTTATATGGATCACAACTTAATAATTTGAGTATTTAATTGATTCTAGAACCTTCTTACAGGTCCTTGGTACTCCAACTCGAGAAGAAATTCGATGCATGAATCCGAATTATACAGATTTTAGGTTTCCTCAGATTAAAGCTCATCCTTGGCACAAGGTATGCAGTTTTCATTTTCTTTTCTGATATGTTGTTGGTTTTCTTAGCGGTTTCCTGAAGTGGCTTTTAGTTTGAAAACTGATTGTCCAGTTCTTTTTTTTCAGGTTTTCCACAAACGAATGCCTCCTGAAGCAATTGATCTGGCTTCACGGCTCCTTCAATACTCACCAAGTCTTCGTTGCACTGCTGTGAGTTCCGTTTTCCCCTTCTTGTTGTGGTGTTTTGTCAGTTTTATCTCTGAGTAAAGCCCATTATTGCATCAAAACCTATAAGGATCACATAAAAATTACCCTTCCAAGGATTCTGTATCATTTTTGCTGTTTTAAGTTGTAATTCCTTTACTAATATTGCTCTTTGCTGTTGTAAATTGTAATTAGTACTCTGAACTGACTCAGCTCCAAAATCTATTGTAAACTGCCACTGTTTTGTTGACTAGCTATTTTTCTTGCTGCAGTTGGAAGCATGTGCTCATCCATTCTTTGATGAGCTTAGGGAGCCTAATCCCCGGCTTCCAAATGGTCGTCCTTTGCCCCTGCTTTTCAACTTTAAACAGGAAGTACGTATCCTAACTACTGCATTTATCATTTTGATACTGTGGGAGAAGTGATACTTCTTCCAATATGATTTTACCCATTTTAGATAAGAGTGAGAGGAAATAAGAAGGTTTTATATATATGGATTTTACTCATCCATATATGGATATCCATTTTACACTAGGCAGGTATTAGGTAATTTACTTGTGTTTCTGCACATGCATTATATACACGCGTTTTCTGATAACAAATCTAACAGATTTAGATAGAGGAACCACATTGAAACTCGCTTGAAACTATACGGTTTGTGTGTAAATTGAAACTACAAGGTCCAAAGTGAAATTAACGTGAAACTATAAGGACCATTTGTGTAATTTACCCTTAATGGTTATTGGATTTAACTCCTAATTGGGTTTTCTATCAAGTGAATGAGGTAAATTGATTGAACTTGGATATTCTGTGTCAGGTTTAGAATGGATCATTTATTTCACTACTACAGTCTTGATGAAGCTAACAATAAAAGGTTGAATATGTGAGTGCAAAATATTTCATTGTGTGGCGTCCAGCTGAAGATTACATGTTATGTTGGCTTGGCATGTATATTCTAAGTTAACTGCATACATTACTAAATTTCTTTAGATTAAGTTGCCATCAGTAAATACACATCATATAAAGAAAACTTCGATATGTAATGCATTCTTCTAAATTCCTTTCTGTAAGCCTTACGCTTATCATTTCTGCTATCTCTTTATAAATACCATTTTATTCCCTTTTTTTTTTTCTTTCCTTCCCTTTTTGAATATGTCTAACTGTTCAAAACTGATTGCAAATTGCTTAGGTATTGGAATTTATCATATAGTTTGACGGCAACATTTCATTTTGTGGTGCAAAATACTATTTGTTGGTCCCATTGCATCTTAATGTAAGACTTCCTCCAGTTGTATGTGAGAATCCTGTGGACCCATGTTTTGATACAATCATTTGTATGGTTGCTTTATCAATCCTGTGCATTTCATTTGCAATAAAGTCCAATTTTCTTGCGCCATTCAAATCATTATTTGCAGGAGTCATCCATAAATTGTTGAAAGAACGGTTGAAAATAAAATCGTCAATCCCTAGTTTAATTATTGAATTTGTTTTTCATTTCTCATATTTGGTTGCAGTTAGCTGGAGCTTCACCTGAGTTGATCAATAGGCTGATACCAGAGCACATCCGACGGCAAAGTGGTCTCAGCTTCCCCCACCCGGCTGGGACATAAACAGATCAATCTAAGGTAGAATCAACTCTTCTGCCAGTTGATGGATGTGAATTATAAGGGAGCTTCTGGGGGTTATTATCAGCAAGGGTTTTGGCCTAACCTACATTTTCCTTGTCCAACAATGATGTATTTTGGCTTGACCAGGAATTTGGCTATTCTGTCTACTATGCCATCCTAGATAAAAGAACCTCTTCCAAGCTTCTGTACATTGTTTTGATCGTCGTAAAGATTTGAGAAAGGTAGGAGGTACAAAATGGTAATGCTCTTTTTATGTCTTAGCTAGGCAGTTTGTCTGAAGAAACATCAGAAGAAGCATCAAGGGCTCTTCTTAGTCTTGCTTGTTTATACTTAGCTGGGGATTATTTCCTTCTCCTCATGTGATATCTATGTAGTGGCTTGTTTTTGGTTATTACTGCCTTTTGAATGTGCTCCAGACATTTCCATTTCAATGATGTGCTATTTTAATATATGCTCGCAAAACATGAACATTACAAGCCCAAAAAAAAACAAAAACAAAAACAAAAAACACGCGGATTATATTTTTTTGGTGCAATTTACGAAACAAACAATCCAAACGATGAGCTTTTAGGACACATTATTTAGAGCTTCAAATTGTCTTCTACAACAAGAAACCCTCCAACACCAGAAAAAAATTGGAGTGCTCAAAAATCGTTGGTCCATTTTAAACTGCCTCACACAATGAATGTATCCCTCTTATTTTCTTGGATTAGCAACTGTATTGGTTTGGGGTGCATGAATGTCATTTGGTCGAAGTCAATTAAAAAGGGCAAAAAAAAACTAATGATATTTGTAAAGCCACAGTACAATATTATTGACAGTCCAAAAAATTATTTCTTCCGAGGTATAAATTCCTGTAAAGAGTTTTTAAGCAGATTTTGTGACCTCATGGATAGCATTTGCTAAGTATCCAACATTGCCTGTAGTAACACCTGCCATACTGTATCATATTGTTTGTATATTAGCTTTTAAATCACAAAATATATATATAAAAAGAAGGGGATGAGTTGATAGTCATTCCAAAAACTGGACCGTATTTAGTCATGAAATAGAAGGATAGATTTGAGTAGAAGAGAGAGACAAAAAATTAACAACAGAAAAAAACTCGAATACTGACTAAATGGGCGAAAAATAATAAGACAGGATTACACCTGCTCTGATACCATGAAAAAATAAATATGGAGAGAATAATTGACAAAGCAAACAGGCTCTTTGTTTTCAATTGTATTAATCCTTACGGGGAGACTCCATTTTAAAGGTTCTCTTGTAGAGCTTTTCGCATCCCAATGATTCGATCAGCCATACCCTAGTGAAGAATTCCCACAAGATCAAAATTTTCAGCAAGTTGCAAACACTCAGGTGAAATAAAGCAATGTGTTCAGCATAAACTATGCATGTTAACAGATCTCCATATCAAAGTTAATTTCACAGACAGAGAGAGAGAGAGGTGGTGCATTTTTAATTGAAGAAATAACAGGATAAAGAAAAATAATAATAATGATTGAATATGCTGTACATGCTTCTTATTCTATGCAATCTAATAAATTCAAGAACAAAATGATTTATTGGCGTGAAATTTTTTTTTGAACACTCCCCATCACCTAATATGTGACACACTTCTCAAAATTCATAGTAGCATATGTAGTTAGGTAAATTACAAGATCTGTACAAATAAATTCACTCCAGCATAATGTTTCATAAAATAAAACAAAACAAAAAATCATGTACCAAACCATGAAACTAATCTTTGAAACTATCACTAAATATATAGCAAAGTTAAAGAATAAAACGATTCTAGGTGGATGTAAGAATACATTTCGTGGTAATAATCACTAACAAGACTTGTAGAGAAGAAAAAAACATAACCCATCAAACATACAAATATCTATGGAGGGAAAACATAGGGTAGTCGTTAAATCTCTTTTGGTGGTGACAACTGACGAGAGCACCTCTCATTGTTCTCCTGCCTGAAACTCTTGAATATAAGGAACATTTATAGCTCTCCTTTCCATTGGCATAGCAACAAATAATGACTCAAAAGGCTACATCATACTTAATCAAAAAAAAAAAAAAAAAAAAGCCTAGATCATACTTTACTTTATAAAGCATAAGGTGTCATGTCTCATGATCGCTAGGCCGTACGAACATGGTCATCTCATTTAGTTATAAAAGTTGAACGTAATGGAAGCTTCTTTTTTTCAATATTATTATTATTATTATTAAGAAAATATAAACAAAGGAGAAACCAATTACAGCAAATTACCTTAACTTCCTTGAGCCACAACTTCTTCAAGTCTGGATCACCTAGTATAGTTGAAACGATGAGTGCGCCATGAACAGGTGGATTACTGTACATGGGCCTGGCAAGCTGCTGCAACTGACTTTTCACAGCTACTGCTTGTTTTTCATCTTCACAGACCACACTGCACTCAGTCGATAACGGCATCAGAAAAAGATAGTATAAAAATCTCTGCTTTCCGAACAGAATTGACAAAGAACAGGAAGGCTTGCAAATAAACTATAGAGTTTGTCTTCAACCAAGTGAGCAATAGAAAATAGTATGTATAATCAACAACAGATGCCACTCCCCATACAGGTATCACAAGTGGCATTGCTACAAGCAGCTTTTCTACTTCTCATACCTTGAAAGAATCTTATATATTATGTAATGATACTCTACAGAATGCTGATTATGCACTTCCAGTAGAACTGTGATTCAAATGGTGAATTAACCCTGAGAACAAGGCACAAAAAATAAAATCCCTATAATCTATCTTGAAATAGAAAACTTGCTAGCATGATCTAGTTATGGTTTTTTTTGCCTTGCAAGTTTAAGGTTTCAGATTCACTCTTCAAGCTTCATTCAATTTTCACCCTTGGTGATGGAGTACTATTTTTAACTCTCCTTTCCAATGGATTTAAATCTTCTTCCGCCCAAGTTTCATCAATCCCTCAATCCCTTTTATGACAACAACAATACTACTCATGTCACCATCATCTTTCCTAGTACAAGATTCAAGGGTGCCACAATGATTGGAAGATGAAGCCACATTTATTGGATCTTGCACAATAGAAGTAACCTTTTGGGGGATACCCCTAGATTTGACACACTAACCCACCACCTAACAACAACCTCCACAGAGTGCCTAGGTGATGTGTGTGGCAAATTTATACCCGCCACAAGGAACTTCACTAATCATAAACACGAATTAATAAACAAAAGGACTCATAACCAATCAAACTTGGCATTACTTGTTTGGTACTTTACTTCTACCATGTACTTCTGCATCATATGTAAAATAGTCCAACCAACCACAGAAAAAGGCAACCAAAAAAATGTCAAGCTAAATTCAATCATCAATTAGACAATGAAGTGTCGATAAACAATTTCTTAAAACTGAAACAAGTGGGAGCTAAGTTAAACTTTGAAAAGAAATTACTCAAAAAGATCACCTGAGGCATCCAACTCTCTGGCCATAGAGTCCCATATTTTTTGCATATGATTGGGCACATCCAATTAAGTGGCCATCCTCAAGAAAAATCCTAATAGATTTTGCATCCCTTTCTGGATCACCACTAGCAAAACCTTGATATGCCATGTCAAAGAATGCAAAATGACCCTTGACCTGAAAATAAATATATTAATATATTGGAAAATAGAAGTAAGAGCAAAAAGGAAATCTGATGAGATTTATACCTTCATCTGGTAAGAAATCTCTCTCCACTGTTCCTCTGAAGGATCAACTCCAGTAGGATTATGAGCACAAGCGTGAAGCAGAAAGAAAGAACCATTTGGAGCATTCTACGCAAGGAAATATACAAATAAAATGGGCAAGGAATGGCAAGAAATAGAACAAAAGAGACAGCAAAGAAAGACTGACAGCAATATAATTTAAGAAAATGATCAAATTAGGAACATCTTTAATGTGCCTTGGATACCTTAATGTCGTCCATCATTGCAGCAAAATCCAACCCTCTTGACTCTGGATGATAATAATGGAATGTCCTTTGAGGGACATGGGCATCTCTCCAGATGTTATGATGACTGTTTAAATATCACATTGCAAGGCTTAAGAACGATATACCATGGTAACATGACAGAGGAAACAAAAGGCAACATTTGAATTTCTGAACTTAATTAGCATTTTATTTTAAGTACAAGAATCTTCACTATGGAATCGAACCAAAACCTTCATACTCACTTGGACCAGGTAGGGACGGGAATGTAGATTTGAGAATCAGGGGAAAAACGTTTCTGAAAGTCTGCAAAAAGTCGGCATGCACCTGTCCCAGAAAGAGCTTGCACCGCTGCAATACGCTTATCTTTAATCAAATCAGAATCCTCCCCATAAGCCAACTTCAGTGTTTCGTCGACCATCTTCATACTCCCTCCCATGGGAAGATATTCCCTGGGGAGATTTTAAATATGAATAAAAGTGTAGAATGCATTTCCTCAGTTCAAAAAAAAAAAAAAAAAAAGGTTCAATGATGTGTTACCAACTCACCATAATACTACCAATGGAAAAATTACCCAACTAAATGAATGGAAATCACATACACCTTTTCTTTTCTCCCACTTAAACTACATACCTACAGGTCATTATTTTGCCCTAAAAAGCATTCAACTTGTTTGGTTTTGATTTTCAAAAAATACTTCTAAGAAAATTTCACTTTTTTATTTTTCGTATTTTTTTTTTGTTTTCAATGAATTTTTTTAATTTTTAGACACACTTAACATAAATACACTTAAAAAGTATAATATTTATAAAAAAAATCTTTAAAAAATTTACTAAATACAAAAAATAAAAAAATTTAATACTTTTTTCATATTTTTATGTATTTATTAATTTTTAAAATATTTTTTCACAAATATTTTACTATTCAGATACATTTAAATAAGGTACATCTAAAAAAGTAAAAAAACCGCTTAAAATTTTAAAAATATTCACTAAAAACAACAAAATACGAAAAATAAAAAACTCAATTTTCAAAAAATTGAAACGAAACACATTAATTAACAGCTCATCCTATTAAATCCACAAAAGTAAAAAGTTGAGCATCCACATTAGCCTTAACAGATGAGGTTTTTGGCTAAATATAACTAATAAATTATGAAAACGTTGCTCCATTAGTCTTAACAAACTAATTTTATGGCTAGCTATATTTATATTTGCTACGGTAACTCAACGAATTTGTTGAGCCACTATTCATTGGTTATTCAATAATTTATTATTATTTTTGATAGATTTGACCCCTCTATCTTGACTTTCTTGAATACTAATTATTGAGAGAATGGATAACAAAATAATTTTTTAATAAAAATGTTAGAATAGAGAGTCTAATGGATGGTGTATTTAAAAAGAGAGCTATACAGAACAAAAAAGTGATTTTTAGATTGTAATTTAGTCCAAAACTTGTTGAGCTTGATGTGGATACTGAAAGGAGTAACATCATCACACAACCAGCTGATTTTGATTTTTGTTGGGATATTCATATTCATATTTTCCTTTTAGCTTGGCCACTTTATACTTATCTACAAAATAAAAAAGTAATTTTTAGATTGTAATATAGTCCAAAACTTGTTGAGCTTGAAATGGATTCTGAAAGGAGTAATATCATCACACAACAAGCTGATTTTGATTTTTGTTGGGATATTCATATTCATATTTTCCTTTTAGCTTGGTCACTTTATACTTATCCCTCTGTCCAGAGAATTCTTGTAATCTCACAGAGAACCAAAATCATACTGTGAAAAGTCTTCCCAAAATTTATTTCTTGTACATATGTACCGGGCGCAAACTTTTATGATGGGGCCCCTTATATATAATCACAAAAGAAAAAAGATTTGGAAGGTAAAATTATAAATACTCACAATTTTTATTAATCATCCTTAAGATTTGAAAATTATGTAATAAATTCTATAAATTTAACATAATTGCAACGATATTCGTTTTAGTAAGGCTAAAATAAACTAAATCAATGTAAATGGTGTCTAAATGCAAAAATAATCAAAGATAAAATATACATTTTAATGTAAGAGATGATTTTTTTTATTTTTTTATCTATGTAATTAACGAATGATTGATGTAAAGAGAGTTTTATGTTATGAATAAAAACATTTAGGGAGCATAGTGTAGTGGTAACAAACTTGGGGGGCTTCATATGTTTTCTCTAAACCTTAAGGGAGGTTAGTATAATTTACCCATTCTTTTTATCAGCTAGTTTCTACATAAAGTTTTTTCTTTTTTTATATAATTACTAAAATTATATACTGAAATTCAATTTAAAACAAGAAATCAAACATTAAACAAAATTTAAAGTTATAACGCTAAATAAAAAAATAAAAAAAATCAACTATAACAAAGTATCACTTAAATATTACTTTTCTCACATGTTTAGTTGCAAATTTACTAATTTGCTTATATAATCTATATTATCTAACATTTAATTTTTTGTTGATTAACATTACTAATTAATTAATCCTTCCTTGTAACATGGTTAATTGAATGCATGATTTGATTATCTTTCAAATTTTTATTTTTCTAGAGACAATTGTAACCGGTGTAGTAAGCAAAATTTTATAAACAATTTATGAATTGAAGAAACAAACATATATTACTTTTAAATAATTCACCACTCTAATTGGCCCTCCATTTAATTAAGACCTAATAAAAAGTATTTTTATTAATATACATATAAGGTTTGGGGCCCTGTTTTTGAACAAACTGGGGGCCTTAAGTGGCCGCCTACCTTGCATTCCCTCAGGATCAAGTCTACACGTGTAAATATTTTTTACTTTGTAGAGTACGTTTTCTTCCAAAATTAACTCATTTCATATGATCGTGAAAATTATTTTCTGTTCGCCTTTCATTTTTTATAATTCAAAGTGCTAAAAACAAGAAAATAACTTTTAAAAAATATTATTGGCCGAAACAAGCAAAATCTCAATATAATATCCACGAAAACAAACACAGCTCAAGAAATCTGGTTTCCACTAGCCAAAAAGTGAGATTGGAAATTTGCTTATCAACATCAACAATTTAAAAGATATATTTAAAGTGAGGCATAAGAAAACAAAGAATCAAATTGGTAAGTGGTGGGAAAAAAAAAGTAAGAAGTTAAAAGGGGACCATATAAACAGGGATGAAATTAGGAGAAAATTATAAGAGATTATGGTTTTTTGTTTCTGTAAAAATTATTATTTGCTATAGAACTTTAAAAATATATATATTATTTTATACATAAAATGGTTCTCCAGTATAAAAAAAAATATATGTCATTCTTCTTTTATTTTGAATTCTCTTTTTATTTTATGCCAAAAAAAACTTCTTCATCCTATTTGAAACTACTTCCATTCTTCTTTTATTTGAATTTATTTCTATTTTATACTAAAAAAATTTCATCTTATTAGAAATTACTTTTATGATATTTAATTTTTTTTTATATATATATAATTTATATATATTATATTATACATACATATATATTTTATATATATGATAAAAAAAAATTATTTTTCTTTTACCCCGTCTGATAATAAAATCTTAATTCCATTCCTCCATAGTAATTGAGTCATTACATGTCTATATCTCAAGGAACTCACTTTTCAGACACAAAATGTTGCCAACTAACAAACAAATTGGTAAAACCGCGTTGGGGTTCGAATCTTACACGTTGCGTAATATACTTCCTTTCTTTATTGTCTTTCAACCAATTGAAATTTAACAAAAATAATAATAATTAAAGAAACAGTAATTGTAACACGTAAGAGATCTGTTCGTTTGGTAAGAAAATTGTGGCAGAACGACGAGAAACAAATATCAAATTGTATACGAATTCAGCATTTGACAATTAAACAAAACAAAACCTCCTGCTAGCTTGAAAACAAAGCAATTAATCGGAAAATTCTAAGTTTTCAAACTATTATCTTTTTCATTTGTTTTCTCAGCAAGGAAACACAGATCAAAAGAGATGGAAAATGGAGAGAGCCTACTCACATGTTCAAATTTCCTGCGATCCTCCCCTCTGCTTCTCTGACACACTCGAGTACCACCGGCTTCCCGTTGTCGTCACGATACGCACCCTAACCAATCACGAATCCAAATTAATTAAAAAAAAAACGAGTCCACAAAATCAAAACTCAAGCTGAATCAAAGTTTCCGAAAATTTTCTCCGGAATGAAACAGAGAGATGAGAAAAAAATAATTTAAAAGGAGTTAAACATAGCTCGTAGCTTACCACTCCGACATTGACTTTGCTAGGACTCGGATCTGCGAGAAAAGCTTCAGTGACACCGAGAATGGGGTCTTTGGGAGCTGGCTCAACTGTTCGCCACAACGAAGAGGACATAGATCGAGCTCCAAACGCTGCGATCGGCGAATTCTTCAGAATTCGACTCGACATCGCAGTTCGAATCGCCATTGTCGAAGAGAGAGAGAGAGAGATTCGGAGAAACAGATAGTGAGCGAAGCGAATCGTGAAAAGCGCAAACAAAAACTGTTATATAATAATGAATGCTCCTTGAAAAGTGTGAGAAGCTTAAGCTGACTTGACATCTCCGCAGTCGGTTATTTGGACATTATTGTTGTCATGATATTACAATTATGCCCTCAAATTGTTTGGCTTATTTGGGTTTGCCGGTTACTGTTGTTGAGGGACACGATAGTAATGTTAGGATATATATGGGATTTCACGGCGTGGCACATTTATCTATTTATATGATCAGGAGAAGTTATTTGGTCTTGCAATGTCAAGGTGGTGCTTCGTGACATTGGGGTTCTCTCGCAACCAGTAAAAAGTTAATTTTTAATTTTTTTAAAAAAAATTTATTTTAAGTTATATTATTTTTTATATTTTTTATTTATTAAAAAATAAAAAAATTAAAAAAATTAAAAAATTGATTTTTTACTGACTTCTCAAAATACCACGTTATAATTGATGGGATAAGTAGAGTTTACAATTTCATATTTAAAAATAAGAAAATACTTGAAATTTCATATTGGGAGACTCTCATAACTTTTAACGGATTGTGATTTGGTTACGTGATTTATTTATTTAATCTCTCTAACACGTGTGTATGATGCCATGGGGTTGGCGTGCTTGTGAGAGTTTGCATCATTTTTATTAAAAATATTTAGTAGTTATAAAATAAGAATTTTAAAGGAACTCTAATTATGTGACATTAGTATGTGCTATTATTGTTTTTTTTATTAGTATTTTTTTATTTTTTATTTTTACTTACCAACTCACTAAAACTTTATTTAGAGATCTTGAATTAAATATATGTATCATTGCTCTTTGGTATTAGGGGAAGAAAATCACAGGACATGTGGCCTTTGATGATTAGTGGAAGCATTGAAACATGGTACCTTAGGATCATCTAATAATTTTTGAAGAAATTATTAATAGAATTATTTAAAGATTCCTAAATTTACCAATAATGATATAGTAATAGTAGGTGTTATACAGTTAAATATAGAATAAATCAAAAGTTAAAATGTATATATCATGTCACATTATTATAGATCAAATCATATGAATTTTTGTGAGTTTTTAATATTTTTCTTTCTAAAAATTATTACATATTAATTAAAAAAATTATAATTATAATTATGAATTTTGTTAATAAATATCCTTAGAGTACTTACTAAGAATACAGTAAATAAGGCTAATTAATCCAATGATCCTAGAAAGTAACAAAGGCAATAAATAAATTGTATTAAATAATATATATATATATGTATATATTTTCTAATGTAACTACAGTACTCTTATATATTTTTTCTTCATTTTATTTTATTTTTTCTAATCCATTCATCTTCCACATGTGTATCCTTTTCCTAATTAAAATAGATATTCAATATTAATTAATGGTACAATACACTAACAATCTTCATTTCAATACTATTTGACATAGGCAACGTTAAGAAAAATTTAAAAGTGAACCCTTTCGACAATCAAATAGCATTTAAAATTTTTTAAATATTTTTATTTTTGTCCAATTAGTTTTATTTAAATTTTTCATTAAAATAATTTGCAACATTTTTCATTTCAAAGGATTTGTTATATTTTTACCGAATTTTTCATGACATAAATATTATAATTTGTAACTTTCACTTTAATGGTGATAACCATAGATTTTTTTTGTTCTCAAATTTTACCACAATCATACATTTAGGAGTGAATCATTTTGAAGAGAAATGTAAATAATATATTAATTTTAGATCATACATTTAGGAGTGAATCATTTTGAAGAGAAATGTAAATAATATATTAATTTTAGATTAAAATAAAATATTTAAAATTATAAATAATAATAAAGTATTTGTTTGATTAATTAATTTGAAAATACACAGGTGACAGCGAGGTGAATGAGTCAGAAAAAAATAATAAGATAAAATACAAAAAGATAAAAATAAAAAGGTATTGTAGTCACATTAGAAAAAAAAATATTATTGAAGGATTTGTCTTCTCTCATGTTCACAATTCAACTTGAGAAAATATTTAGGCTTAGTGGGCTCATTGTAAGGTTAATTTTGATAATTTAAACCATTCACTTTTTAAAACTCATTGAGAAGAAAAAATCAATATAATTTGCCTTCGATAGTTATATGTTTGAATCACATTGTAATTCCCTCATAATTTTTTTGTTTGACCTCCCTGCTCGCTATTTTTGTGTAAAAATTTACATTAACAACCTAGAGTAATTATTTGGATAACTACATGGTGATGTTATGGTTACACATTTTTCAAAAAGTGTATATCATATGTATTTTATTACATATTTTTGTGGTAAAAATTGCATTTTATTTTTATAGAGTTACGACAATTTGTTATTCAAAAATTAAGTTACGCATTTTGTGATAATATTACGTATTTTTGTGGTAGTGTTACATATTTTTTGGTTAGAAATATGTGGATAAAAAAATATATAGCGTTACAACAAAATGTGTAATATCATTTTTTAATCACAAATTATTGTTACTCTACCAAAAAATTACGTTACATTTATCATAAAAATACTTTATATGCACTACAAAACACATAACATAATAGGGTGCATGTGATACACATCTTTTGAAGGATATGTACCATTGCATTTCCTTAAATACATTGATCTTACTTGAAATTTTTGGATAAAATATGCGTAGTTTACAATTTTAACATAATTATATTGATATTATTTTAAGAGAGTGTTTGGAAAGTTTTTTAAATTTTTACAAAAATTTATGTAAAAAAGTAAAGAGAATAGTCGATTTTTTGTAGTGAATTTTTTTTATTATTTTAACCATTATCCAAACACTACCTAAGAAATGTTAAAAATACCGAAATTAATGCAAATAGTTTAAAGGTACAAAAATAAATACTATATATATATAATGGTAGAGAATGATAACTGTGGGGGCTGAATATTGGGAGTCGTAGAGATTCCGGAGAGTTGAGCATTGAAGAATCAAGATTCGAAACATTCGGCCATTGCCACGAAAACTCGGACCCAACCTTATTCGGCTAGATAGTCGATTAAGCAAGGGGCCGAATGAAGATCGGTTTATTACAAAATGTGCTGAATAGGAGGTTGGATTTGGAACTAATCCCGAGGCACAAAGAAGAAAAGATATAAATAGAAGAGACATCAGCCAGAAAGAGGTATGCGATAATTGTGGTGTTTAACTTAGAATACAAGTAATCTAGAACGAGAGACTGACTTGTCCGTCGGAGTGCTAATTCCGGCACCCCTGACCGGAGTGTTTACTTCCTTTCAGGTGCCTATCGGTGGATCACGAGCGTCCCCCAAGATCAGAAGAGTATTTCCAAAAACCACTTCCCCACAACTGGCGCCGTCTGTGGGAATACTCAAGCACATCCATGGCGGACGTGACGGAGGACCCTCTAATAGTCACTGATGAAAACACGCAGGTAGACGTTTTCACTCCAACAAACACGCACGGACTGGAGCTTCTCCCAGCAAGACGCATTTTGAACTTCGCCTCACCTTCGACTCCAGAATATGAGGCAATGCAAGCAATCATGGAGCAGGCAAAGCAAAATGAGCAGAGGTTGGAAAACTTGATCGATGAGAACAAGCGCCTTTGTCAGGATTTGGCTTTGGAGGTAGCAAAATCCAAACAAGCCGTGCCCCAAAATCCCGAGCGACCTCTGAAAGCAGGTGATCGACGACCTCGAGCCCAGCTTCACGACACCGATAGCAGCTTCGACCTATTATCCCCGGATCCCAAGAAGAATGGACGATCTGAAGTTTTCAGTTCCTTCGGAGAAAGCCCGCATATAAAGTGGGCCCCCTTGTTCTACACCAAGCCATCAGAAGCGGTGGCACCTCCCGACACGACAAGAAGGGATAGACGGTGTGAATATTGCAAAGATCACGATCGTGACAGTAGCTATGCCATGAAAGACCTTCAGGAGTTGGTTCGAGATGTTTAGCCCCAGCACCATACCCAAATGTGCGCAACCAGACCAATTGTACTTCGGCGGGAATCACCTCCGCTTGCAGTCATTCATATGATATACAGCTTGCCAACGCCCTCAACTGTGCATACAATTCAAACACACCCTGCATCCCAGAAGCAACTTACGCCGGCGAAACGGCCGCATGAAGCTCCGAGTATCACCTTCGACGATTCTGATCTTATCGGCATAACAGTCCCCCACATTGATCCACTGGTCATTGAACTACGTGTCAACCGATTTACTATCGAGCGCGTTCTCATAGACCAGGGAAGTACTTCTGAGGTTATGTATTACAAGACCTTCATCAAACTTGGCTTAAATGAATCAGACTTGTCTCTGGCTCCTTATCCATTATTCAGCTTCAACGCAAATCCAGAATATCCGTTGGGGAAAATCATACTACCCGTCCGAACAGGCTCCCGAACAGTGGATGTGAAATTCTTGGTCGTCAAGCTGCCTTTGCCCTACAATCTCATTATGGGGCGAACTTGGTTGCATACTATGCGAGTTGTCCCAAGCACCTATCATCAGCTTCTGCACTTTCTGACAGAGTATGACATCGAGCAGATCCGTGGTTCCCAACAATCGGTACAAGTATGTTATCTCCTCTCCGAAAAGACGCCAAAGGATTTGCAAGTTAATTCCATCGAGGTGCCAGATCGTGAAAGCCTCGACGATGTCGGGCGGCTCCCGAATGAGAAAGTCACGGAAGACTTAGACCGAATTGAGATTGACGGCAATCCAGAGAGATTCTTCATGGTCGGCGCCTTCCTGAATCAAGCCGATAGACAGCAGCTAGTATCCTTCCTGCTCGATAATCTTGATGTATTTGCATGGACTCCATATGAAATGCCGGGCGTCGACCCAACTGTTTCCGAGCATCGTTTGAATGTTGACCCTAAGTGCAAGCCGATCGTTCAGAAAAGCCGGTGATCTGCCGCAGAGCACACTACCGCCGTGATTGAAGAGGTTGATCGGCTGCTTGATGCAGGGGCAATCAGGGAAGTTACCTACCCCACATGGCTCTCTAATACTGTAGTTGTGAAGAAGAAGAACGGTACA